GGGGGGGGGGGGGGAGGAGCAAGGTTATCTGAAAAAAAATCGCCCTTTGGGGGTGGGTCCCTGGGATTGGCCACACCAAAGTTTCAGGAGGATACACTAAATTAAACCAGACCCCTCCTCCCCGATGTAAAAATAAATAGTCTCTTATATATAAACACATATTTGTTTGTGATCACCTGCAATGTTGACCAAAATCTCTTGATTGTAGCAAACGTGCAAGTCTATCACAATGAGACTAAAATGCATTCTTTTCAAGCCAGGAGAGTATACTAAATTGCACCAGACCCCCCGCCGCTGAATATTTATGTAATATTCAAAAAACAAAACATCGAAACATCCCAACATTAAATTTACTTTTGAAATTGAATATGTTGATAAAACTCTGCCTTTTCTGGATATCAGTATTAAACGTGTTAATTTAAATTAATGGGAATTTTGAAACGTCTGTTTATCAAAAACCAACCTTTACTGGTCTTTTTACAAATTTTGAAAGTACCGACTTCTTAAAAAAAAGGTTTCATTTTCTCTTTTTTGTTTCATTATTTCAACATTTGCTCCTCCTATCAAATTTTTCATGCTGAACTTGAAAAATTCAAAAAGTTACTACTTCAAAATGGTTACCCAAAATTGTTCATAGATAGATACGTCAAAACGTTTTTAGATAAAATTATTTCCCCACCTCTCAAAGTTCAAATGCCTACGGTTTCAAAATTACTTATTCCGATTGTTTTACCTTATACGGGGAATCATGCTATTCAGATCCGTCAACAATTACACAAATTGTTTCCCTCGGCTTTTCCTCAAGTACAACTACGTGTGATTTTTAAACCAATATGCCGTTTGTCTATTTTTTTTCATTTCAAAGATCGTATTCCTCTTAATCTGAGACCTCATGTCGTATATCAATTTGAGTGTCAATGCTGTAACGCATTGTAGTTGGGCAAAACATGCCGACATTTACACACACGAATCTCCAAACATTGCGGAATTTCGGCTTTTTTGTGTGTTTAAAAATCTAGTATTTCGGATAATTCTAGAGAAGCCGGTCATCCAATTAGCCTTTCTCACAATGACGAATATCCGCCATTTTTGGGTGCCATCCAATTCTCGTTAACCAATGCAGACAATCAAAACAATGTGAAAAGCAATTTTTCAAAATAAACTAACCATTTACAAAGCAAATTTACACTCATTCCAAAAAATTATAAAAAGTCCAAAAAATTATAAAAAGTCGCGGTTATGTGGATTTATCTCGCAAACCAGAGGAGGTTGGACAGCAGGCCGCAAAGCATCGTGGGTATTGAGCGCCTAATTCCGCGCGTGACTTCATTGACTGTCGAGGAGTGAACATCTCTCTGAGTAGACCAATATGGAAACTTTCGAACGACAAGGGTGTCAGGCTGCGATACTTTGTGAAAAGAAACAGCATGTTTTTGCTGTATTGTTGCGATCATCATCATGACTTGTGTTTTACTATATCAAGTTTACCTTTTTTAAATTGCATGGGACGTGCTGTCGTTTTAGCTTTATAAATAATTCGTCTGAAAAAAGGAATTGTGTTTAATTTTATAATCCCAATAGCGAGGCTCTTCTTTGTAAGTTGGATGGCGTTAAATTTACGTGTATCATCAACATGAAAACAAGCGCAGTATTTAAGGTTGGTAACTTGGTATACTACAATGCATTTATACAATTATCGTGTTATTTTATAGTCAAATTTCCGCTTTGTTGTTTTTATTCTTGTGCTGTAATTTTATAAATACACTGTAAAAAATTATGGCGTCATACTTGTGCTTATAATGCCTCTAGTTTGACCCTATTGTGTGTGTATATGTACTGTGTCACTGTGATACATATGTGCATGTTTTGAGTTAATCGAATTGTTTAATAAATTTTTGCTGAAGTATGATGCCTGATTGTATGAATAGATTTTTACATATATGAGCATACAGTCATGCAGATGAGACTGATGGTTTATTGTTATTCAGCTATTTGTATGCATTGTTTTATAAATTTTTGCTGAGTATGATGCCGGTTTGTATCTAGTTGTGGATCGTTGTGAGAATATAATTTTAGAGGTTTTATACATGTTTGCTAATTTTAGAGATGATAATGTATCAAATAGTAATTTTCTTGTTATGATTTTGTAGAAAGAGATTTACTCGAGTGGTTGGCTGGTCTTGAGCCTGTTCAGGATGGATATGATAATGAAAGAGGTGATCAAGGTGATAGGGCAGAAAGGGATGACGTTTAAGTGAGAAGATAAAAGTCATGAGGAAGAAATCACCTACGTTGTACCATTCAAGTGCATCAGTGCTGCTCGTGAGAAAAACTACCAACATCATTTGGAGAATTAAATTAAGGCATAATACCTCACTCTTCATGAACAAGATAAAACAGTGAATGTAAGAATATGGCCAGCACCATTGAATCCAAGGGACCCAAATGCAATAGGCATTTCCAGCTTTTAGTTTATTTTATTAAAATTGTTTAGCATAATCAGCAATATGATACCTTACTTCCTGTCGCCCCCTGCATGCATAAATTAAAAGCTGGAATTGCCTACTGACTAGACTATGCAACTGGATGGAAAACGTGTTGGTTATATTGCTTTTGGACTAATTGCTGCAGATGTCGTGGATGTCTATTGTCTATGTTCAGTGTATCAAGTATAGGGTTGACTTTTTTAAAATTGGATTTTATCCAAGGGTTGATTTTTTATTTTTTTAAAGGAGGGGTGGAAACATTTTTAGTGGGGTGCAAGCAGCACCACTGAGTGAGCTTTTTACAGGGGTTAGGTATTAGGGTTAAAGACTTATTTAACTCTAAGGTTGGTGGGTTTAATTAAACACTTTATAAGAGGGGTTAAAGAGATTCTAAGGGGAGTTAATCCCACCTAACCTTCCCCCCCCCCCCAGTGAATCCGCCCATGAGTTTATCCAAAATTTTTCATAATGACACCTGGTGAGTGGAGTCATAAAGACACCTGGTGAGTGGAGACTCAAGTGGTAGGAAAAAGCATGAATGTATGTTGACAGATGTTTTTTTTATATAAATAGCAACTAGCTATGTTTAGCAAGTTATTAGTGCATTTATTTCAATTGGCTAACTTTTTTGGGGGGTTTTTTCCAGCATTTTTAAACAAACCATATGTT